ATCGTAACAGACAGCACAAGACCAATCGATAACATCCACATCTTGATTGTTGCTTCTTTTCCTTGCTATGAACGAAGTATTCTACTATCTAAGATGGTTGACTTCTCTGGGGCACGTTCAGCTTCTGAGCTCAGTTATATCCTACCTCACTGCTCCTTATAAGGGCAAAGGGATTACATGTCAACATTTCCGTTTTCTCTGACAGTGAGACGGGTGGTAACTATGGCATACTTCATTCTTGACCTTATGCTATGTCATTTAAAACCCAATACTTCAATACCTAGATTTGTTAACATGTTTTTTTTTAACATGCGGGTTAAACCTCTTACGTACGAGAGCCTGTCTGAAATTGGGTAATACCATTAAAAATTCAATTCACGTCCGAAGACGCCTTGTGAAATTGTTTTTGTCTTTTGGTGTGTTTTGTGCTGAAGCAAGGTGAAACTASTTGGACGCGAAGATGCTTTTATAATTAATCTCTAATAAGATTTCTGATTTCTTGATTATTTTAATGTTATTCTCTGATTCAAATAAATCTTTTCCTGCTTTATTAATTAGTACTGTAATTTGTTTTTTGTTAAGTAATTTCAAAAGTACAAAAAAGAGCAAAAATTGAGGTGCGGTTATTCGTCATTTCCGGTAACATGGAGCTTGCAACACTTCCGGTGCCATTTCCATTGATTTTATTAAATCGATACCATATATTACCCAAATATTCTCTCTATTATCACAGTGTTTAGATTACAGATTATACATGTCATTTTGCCTAKAGCATCAACGGATTTGATGTTTTACAACCAGACATCTTTGGAGAAATCATTGTTTGCTAACCGAAATTAGCCCCACGTTTTAGATAAAGTTAGATCCGGCAGACCACCAGGGAATAATCACAARATAAACAGTTTGAAAAGAAATGAAGTTGAGTGAATGATAAAGATCAAATAAATGCCATTTGGAAAGGATGAAAGRAGGCATTGCCATCAACCATCAGGACCAAGGGGCCGCGCAAATGCATCCCTACTAAAAGTAAACACCAAAATGTACGAATATAGTTGTACTTTAAATAAAACTTTTCCAACTTCTTTAATATTAAATCTTTTCCGATTGCAGTCATGTACGATGCAACTGTAACAATTTAATGTCTTCATAAATAGTTGTGACACATCTTCATGGTATCAAAATCGAAATAACCGTTGTAGATGAAGACTACAGCAACCACACCTTCCTTGAAATGGATGTACCAGGACCTGATTCCTCTCTACATCCCACGTAAATTCTTCGACTTGGGTATTAAACTCGAGGCTTCCTTTTCCGATTCTTGGAAATCATTTTGAATGTGCTTAAGAATTAACATTCTTTGACTAAGTTGATTATAGCTAACGGAAACAGCAGGTCTGTAGAAAAGGATTTGTACACAAGTATTCAGAAAACAAGATGGATTCAGTTTTATAGACGGAGTATTTTAATGTACTGGCTTTTGTCTTTCACCCTCCGAAAGGAGGGTTGCCGTCTTCGCCGCCCACAATGAAGAATTGCTCACACTGTAGAATTTCACATTTTAATCGTTCAAAGATACCAAACATTTCACAAAATATAAGTAAAACGCAATTCACGATCAGTGTTGCCTTTGTCCATTTCTGTATTAATTATTTCATTTCTTGCATTCACTGTTTTCGTTTCCAAGTCTTAATATTAATTATATTTATTGCTCGATATTGCGCGCGGAAAAGTCTGCTGAATCTTCTAGCCAATCAAAGCTGCACATCTATGTGCTGCTATTCTCAGCTTTATCTTCCATTGCGTTGCATTATATGAAATGATTTTCCCATGACATTAATGTKACTTTAGTGGTCCCTCCAATTCCTAGTTGTCATGTACCAGAACTCTAACATTAGAAACAGTTAAATAGACAGTTAATGGACAATAATACTACTGAGCTTTGAGACAGCAACTGTGTCAACAGTTACTCCGACGAAGGATTAACGTCCGAAACGTCAGTAAGTTCTCTTCACCTACCAATTTTTACGGTGTTTTTAAAAAAACTGTGTCAACGATAGCAGAGTAGATATTCATTGCCCTCGCCTCAGCGAAATAGTAAAAACCTTTCAGTGATCGTGTAAGCAATGCCTAATTGGAGTTTAATTATACCTAGAAATTTCAGAAATTTAAATTTACTACAATTGTAGCAGACATTCGTGGCGCCCATGCTATCAATTTCTTTGGCACTCAAGAATTCCAGAGAAATGACGTAAAACAAGGTATTGTGTATCAAATTCACTGTGGAGCRGGTTAAGATGACCATTTAAATTGSCTACACCTATTCATCGTGTGGTAGGGTATTATCTATCTACTTAACCTATAATGGGCCACTTGACACCTTACACTAACAGATTACAAAACCGCATCACTTTATCCTTTACACAAAGAACTGTATTGAAGACACACTATGAAATCATTAACAGGGAGGAGCCATTGGTGCGGCATATATGACTGTTGAATTGAATACAAGTTGAAGAGAGGAACTTTAGAAACTGAACACAGTTGTATATTTGCATAAAAAGAGATATTGTGAGTCTTAAACTAGTGTRAAATCAGTTAATGTTTCTTTAATACGACCTAGTTGAGATAGAGTATGATATACATGGCAAAA